TTGAAGAGTGATGTTGGGTCTACAAAGCATATTGGAAGGAAACAGTACCTGGTCTACTAGGCTTTCTTACAAAACTTAATTTCTTTTGTATTGAAAACTTTATAATGACTGAAGGAATGTGTTTTCCCATTATTTGGTAAGCAGCAGATTGCAATGGGGAAATCTGTTTTCTGTAGGTTTTATTTGTTGCATACTCTGACTTTAAATAAATTTTTTATATTCAAACCACTGATGTTGATACTTTTTATACTAGCTGTTCCTAAAGATATGTTGCATATTCCAGAATTCTTGTTTGTTTGAGAGATTCGGTTCATTGAAGCAGTTGTATGGTAGGTTCTCATTATCGATGCAACATTATGTAAAATGAAACAGCCATTAAGTTAGTACACTTGATGAGATGTGAGGGTAGTTTTTTTTAAAATAACCTAATACAAAACTGCTCATCAGTGAAGACAAATTCCCATAGCAGAATGTCAAAACAACTGTGCTGGGCATGAAGGCCGTGAGTTAAAGTTCTGGAATGACCTAATGCACAACTGCTATATTAAAAAAAAACTGGTTGATGTCTGAACTGTATGCATGCTAGAAATCTAACCTATTAAATGTATGTTAAGTATTGGTACAAATCTGTGTATCAATCTTCATACTCGTATCCTTGGCAATCAGATTTTCAGATAAGTTGTGAATATTATTGTTTGGGCAATATCAGGGAGGGGAAGAGTCAAGACTATTACTGTAGTGGGACTATTGCAACATCCATAGAGAAGTCAGTCATTGTTTAGATTCCTAGAAACAAATTAATTTAGGAACACTGCTCTTATTCCTGAATGCAGCTGTGTGTTGAGAAAGCTGCCTGACGGGTATTTCCAGCAGAGAGCTAGGCTTGTGGCAGATGATTTAAATAACACAATATATGTGGTCCTCTTGCTGTGCATTTAACATGTAAGATGTTTGGGTGAAATATTGTTTAGACACTTAAGCATTCACTGTATATTGAAGAAAGGGTACTGAATATTCTAGTTTTCTTCATTTCAGTTGCTTGTCCTCCAAATTCTTCCCAATAACTTGTCAAATGTGATCAACTATTGAAAGTTTGTTGCCTGTTTTCTTTGCTAGTAATGTTATGTATGTAATAAACGTCTTATTGTGGGAGATAGCAAAATAGACTTGATTCTAGGAAGTGTGTGTTGTGTCAATTTATCTACAGGGTTTATAAATTTCAAAGATTGTTTCCTGGTGTGCAAAGGAAAGGGCACAGGAAGTCACTGTTTGGAATAGGTGCATCATCAGGTCACAGATGAAGAACTTAATGAGTGAATTGGCCCAATACTGCCAGCATTCAAACCAGTTTCATTTGATGTGTGCTGTGATTAGTGCAGACTCTGTTACTACATGTACTCATCAGGAAGTTGAGCAGAGAGACCCTGAAGTGTTAAAGGAGGGAACTATGGTGGTCTTCAGATCAAATGCATATGGTGAAATAAGTGGCCATTTAAGTGAGATGCCAAGGTCTTAACGTAGCAGTGACCATTTGCATCCAAAATTTGGATTTAGAAAGCATCAGAACAGTTAATGTAGGCTGTATAGTATCCTAAAGTTGCCCACTGAAATGTGCATGCACTGCATCAGCTGGAGCCTTTCTGCATTAGTGCTTTATGTGTTTAGAGCCAGAGAGCAGTTCCTTTCCACCAAGCAGAAGAGTAATTTGGTTTTTTTCAAAACAGAAACCAGATTGGAAGGGAGGGGTAGTCTGTTCTCAGAGTAAACCCTTGGCCAAACATCTCATCTAGAGGCTAGATTGCAGTAGGCTACAGTGTTACCTATGTGTTTCCATGCATTGAGCATACCATTGGACTTTTACCCCTCCCCCCAGGAACCACTCCAGGCAGGCTTAACAGAAGTTGCTAAACACTGCATTAAGGGAGTGGACAGGGCAGAGACCACAATATACTGAACATTTTTGCTTCCTAAACCAGGGTTGTTTCCTCACTGACCATTAAATTCATCTAATGAAGATGCATTTTCATTGGGTTTTTTGCATCTGTGGAACAAAGGCTACATACAGGTAGATCTTCCTATACAGCTTCAGTTTCAAGTCTGTTTACTTGTGATTCAGCAAATACTCTGAACACTGAACTGTAGCAATAGAACATAAGGCAGTAAAAGTGGTAGGCAAAAGAATGAATTGAATAGTTTCTGCAGTAAGACCTGGCAGTGGCTCTCTTCCAATTTCAGCAAAGGGTTGTTTTTCACCTGACCGTGCTACCTAGGTAATCTACTGCTCTAGTAATGTTGGGAGTCAGCATTTGCTGTGGGTGCCAGTACTTCCAGTGAGGTGTGGGACTGGCATGGCATCTGCCCATCAGCTGTGGGGGTTTGCTTGGTAAGTGTTACTGGTTGTGTAGGCTCTTTCCACTCAGAAGACACAAACCTAAAAATAAGTTACCTAAGAATCAACCCTAATTTGTTGACATAATAATCTCATGAAAAGAGTGTAGTGCAAATATACATATAGATTGTTTAAATAATTGCTATAATTGGTCTTTTGGTGCTTGAATTATTTAAAGTAATTGCTATAATTGGTCTTTTGGTGTTCTGGTGCTTGGCATAAAGCTAGAAATGTACGTTTAATGGGACTCAAAAGATTCAGCATTACGAAGATGAGCTGAAAGTTGTCAAATTTATTTTTTCAAACCACAGGATTACAAATGTCTGCATTTAAAATTACAAAAATCTGTTAAAACATTACAAAAATCTGAATTAGTTAATTTAACATTTTGGTCTGCTCTGAAGTAGTATAGCTATACTTCTTGATACAGGAATGGCGCAGCTTTCTTAAAAGATACAGTTCCAAACCCCTGTACCTCTGAGCAAATTAAGTGCCTGAGATTGGAGCGGGACTTCAGAAAAACTCAGTCAGATGCCCAGTCTCAGTCACTATCTTTCCATTCTTTTTTGTAGGCTGCAGAAAACATGCTTCATTATAATGTCTGAGAAATTTTTGGAATGTTAATCACAATGGAGGTGGAATAATGAAGAGTGTTCAAAACTGTTGAGTCCTAATTATAGCACAAAGTTACAAAATACTGCTTGAACTGGGTAGTAACAATTGAAGCATTTAATACACTTGATATTTTGGAGTGAAGGACCTGTAGTCCCACAGGTCTTAGGGCTGGTGGAACCAAAGCTCTCCCTTCAGTGAAGTAGATATACATTACAAACACTGGAATCACTATACTTGAGAAATCAAGCAGTGATGGGCACATTTAGCTCAAGCAGCAGTTACTGAGCTGTGCAAGATTGCAGGTTTTATATGTAGTTTTCCAGAGACTTTCTGTTAGCAGAAAGTACACAGCATGTTTATCCTCATAGAAGAAGAATATGCCCATCACTGCTGCTCAGCCCCCCACTCCCCCAAGTGGTTGGGACACAGCTCCTGAGAATGAAGAAACTTCCGTTTTTAAATACGTGACCAAAAGTCCTCTGGCAATTAGCAGGCTTTTCTTCAAAGAAATTAGGATATCTCACAATAAACAACCAGAAGTTTTTCTGTGGCTGCAACAATATGGCATAAGGTCACTGGCTAGCTGGAGTTTCCCTTTTGAATTTCTGCCTGTTGCTGGCCAAACACAAAACAGCCACACCAGTGTGGAACTTTGAAGTTTTAGACACTCCTCCTTAGGAGCAACTTAGGGAGCCAGAAAGACGACTGTCCTTTGACCATCGACGTGACCATCAGAAATGCAGTTGGTGAAGCTTTTGGCCATGCTACTTGAATTTTTTTAAAGTGCAGGAGCCTATTGGGGGGAAATAAGCAAAGCTGTGTTCCCCCCCCCCCCCCCGCCCCCCCCCCCAGTTGTGCTTCCTTCCTGTCATACCCACCCACCGCTGACCCTAGAGGAGTATTGGAAAACTTTCCTAAGAGGCTAGTCCTGCCATTATTCTAGTTCCCTTTTCAGGCAACACCTACAATAATCTCATGAAGCACTGTGGGGCTGTTTCTTTTTGGTACCAACTTGGAAGCTGAATAATGTAAATTTGATTAAATTAACCCCCTTAATCAAGGATACTTTCTTCTACATTGATATAATACATGTTCATCCTTGGCTTGTCATACCATTTGCTAGGCTTCACAATCTGACAAGCAACTCCTGTTTTAGGAATGATATAATCAAAAGTATTTGAAATATTCATACCAGTATGAAAATAGGTGGATTACTTATAAACTGCAATTAATAAAGGCATTACCATAACATGAACACAGTATAGTCTTGTGGATAAACTAAATATGCCAGTCTTTTTAAAATTACTTCCATAGAAACTGAGACTGTTCTGCTGCCTTTGTAAAAAGTGTTCAACTACCCCCATTTTCAATTTAATTACTAAAAAAAAATTCTTTGTGCAAGACATCTTAAGAATTGGTTTGCATTAAAAATTTCATTGTACACAGAAATAATTGAAACAAACAATTATTTAACCTCTGCTGTATTTTGATTACCCATTTTCCTATATGCTTCCTGTTTGCTGTGCAGCCTGATAGCAAAGGGTACAGAACTCTTACAACCTACTTCCCAGTTGTACATCTGCTAGCAATAGTCTAAGTCAACAAACCTCAAAAAATTCATCTAGCGTCCTTCAGCTAACCTTCCACAGTATATAACATGCATTATTGGGGGGAGATGCTGGGAAAGACTGAAGGTCAAAGAAGTCAGGGACGGCAAAGGATGAGATGGTTCGTGTCATAGATACAACGAACATGAAATTGAGCAAACTTCAGAGGACGGCGGAAAACAGGAGGGCCTGGGGAGATCTTGTCAATGGGGTCACGAAGAGTCGGACTCGACTGTGCGACTGAACAACAAAACCAGGGACTATACCCCAACTAGGTACAAAAAGCTCCCAACATTCCCGCCCCTTAGTTTCAAAGCTGAGCGGAAATGGTTGAAATATGGTTCTTTCTTTGATGCCTCAGCTGGGCTCCTAGCCCCAGTGCAGGGCTTTCAAGTCCAGGCCTTCTCCAAGCTTTGCTCCTCCTTTTCCCATAACACTCCGTGCATCATGCAAACTGGGGAGTTACCTCCCCCCACCCAGAAGGTCCTTTAGGGATGTTGGCAAGCCTCTCTCCAAGGTGGGGCCTCAGCTGCCCGGAGCCTCCCTGCCAAGCACAGTCCCCTCCCTCCTGTGTCAGATATCTGTCTCCCCCTTATCTGTCCAGAAATTGATGGAATCAAACACTAGAATCCTGAGAGCCAAAATTTGCTAGATTATTAATGGAGGATCGACATGCCAAATTCTACGCCAAAGGAAACCCGATACTGCCAACAGAAAAACTAGATCAGTTAGATTCATTTGCTTATATTTAATTTGCAAAATTGTGTGTCCACAGTGAAGCAGTTCAAATAATCTTTTTGTTGAGGATGGATAATGGGAGTGGGATACAAAGCGGCACGCTGGATAGTGAGTCTTAGTGAACCCTCGTCCAGCTCCTCTCTGATTTCCGAGCTCCAGCTGCTGCCATCTTAACCCCAAGCTAGGAATTTTTGAAAAACAAAAAAGGCCAAGGAGGCGTGGTTCTGCACTAGACGTTTGAATGGTCCGCCTGCACAGTAAAAACATCAGCTGTATCGAATACAAAAAGTCATGCCTTATATCCTTAAGGACCAACCATAAAATGTAAAAAAAATACATTCTTCAGATGAGGCATGCCAATTGCTGCACTGGCATAGCATTGCAAACTGACCTCATGCTGGCACTGCAGGACTATCACAATGGCACAATGGTTTCAGATTGGGTGGTTGGATGACTTGGAAGATGCAAAAGCATTAGCCAGTGTTGCACAACTCTGTACAGCAACACCTGTAGTATCTACCATTGTAGTGGAAGTACAATGTTTTGTAAATCCGCAAATGACACTCATGGCACATTGGAAGAGCACCTCTGTATGAGCAACGCGTGACAGGAATCACAGACTCGTACAGGCTTTGGCGAAGACGGTAAAGGCAGTTCGTTGTCTGAGCAGGCATTACAGAAAATTTCACCACAGTTCCTACAGTGATGCTAAAATGAAGATGGGGAAAAAAGTGTTGAAATCAATGCAGCATCACGAGTTAAACAATGGGTTGTAATCAGTTATAACTGAATGCATATAGGATTTCATGTATATGAAATGACTCCTTGAATGTCTGTATTCTATGAGAAGAAAAGTGTCAATGCTGACTCAAAACTACTTGGGGGGTTTATTCTATGCATGGTGACATCTCACATAAGACCATAAGAGAAGCCATGCTGGATCAGGCCAATGGCCCATCCAGTCCAACACTGTGTCACACAGTGGATAAACCTAGGTGCCATCAGGTGGTCCACCAGCAGCGCCAGAACTCCAGAAGCACACCCACTGTTGCCCACCAAGCACCAAGAATACAGAGCATCACTGCCCCAGACTCACTGTAGATGAAATATACAAGCGCTGGGTTACATCCCGTGATCCAGCAGCAGAATGTACTAATGGATGCAGGTCTTCCCAGCTCTCCCCAGCAACCATTTCCGATTCCAGGGAAGTTTATTCCCAGTGTCATGAGACACACACGGATAACAGCTATTTGAGCTGGGAAGCGGTCGTGGGAAAGGGGAAGGCAGCAAAATGGTCCCCTCCCATCTTTTGAGTGAGCTGTGCTGAAAAAAGCAGAAGGGCCTGTTATGTTTCCCCACCGCCAGCCTCTTGGCCTGTGTGGCTGTTACTCCGTGTAGGTCTTGTGACCCGAGAAATAAACTCCTGGGGTCAGAAATGGCAGCTGGAGGGAGGGAGAGCCAGGAAGACTGGGGGTCCTTGAGGGAACCTCACGAAGTCCTTGCTCCTGGGAATAATTTGCACTGACTTGTCCATACAGTTGCATAAAAAGTGACCTGGCTTGAGCAAAATCATCTTGTAAAACTCCCCTATCATGACTTATGGGGCCAACGGTATGAAAGTAAGAACAGTGTTTAATTTGGTAGCAATTGATGATTCATTGCACGTGCATAAATAAAAATGTAGATAATCATCATATGCACAACAAAGGCTTTTTTTGTACTGGCTTTTATCCACTCTCACCTTTCTTTTGGATAGAGAAAACTCCTTTTCGCATAATTTGCAGTGAGTAGCTTCTTTGTCCTTTAGCCAGACCTGCCCCTAGTAGAGAAAAAAGATGTTCTCTGAACAGAGCAATTACAAGAGCATAGTTATCTAAACTTAAATACTAATTGCCTTTCATGCAATGGCAACGTGATGGATTCCTCGCTCCAGGCCTTTTGGCCCACAGACAACTCCGGCTGGTGGGACTGCTCTCTCTGTATTAAAGTTCAGATTTCCAAACTCTCAACAGGCTTTCCCCACATTTGCCTGCTGCCTGGCCCTTAGGCACGGCAAAGCACTGCACAGCAGTAGGCACATTTGATACCAATATCCCATGGTAGCATATTGCAGGGCAAAACTGGCAACGCAGGAATCCTATCATGCCATTTATCTGCCTGTAGAGATCTGCCATGGAACTCTTAATTTTTTATTGTTATTTTAACTGTATCAATTACCAAAGCAGCACAAGCAAATATCTGAGAATGCAAGTATACCTTAACCAAACCATGCAAATCAGTAAATCATAATATAAACTTTATGCCTCTGTACTTGTAGTTCATCCTCTACACGGAATCACAGGTTTCCTTAAGGTTTTTTTGCATTGATTTCTGAAAAGCCATCAGCCTAATAAATTTGAATAGACCTTTTATTTTATCAAGCCATTCTCTCACAGAAGTACCTTTTATTTCTAAAAATTTGCAAATATTAACCTCCCAGCCATTAAAATATCTAAAGCAGGGGTCATTTCGTAGAAAAAGAGCTAGGGGAACTCATTAGCATAACTCATTAGCATATGCCACACACCCTGAAATCACCGGAAGTGTGTCATAACGCCACACCCCCTGACATCACCGGAAGTGTGTCATAAGGCCACACCCATCACTCAGTCTTAGTCTTACAGGTTAGTCTTAAAGGTGCTATTTGTTAGTCTTAAAGGTGCTATTTGAACTCTTGGACTATTTTGCAGCAACAGACTAACACAGCTAATTCCTCTGAATCTAAACCCACCACTCAGGCTCCACCCCCAAAATCTTCAAGGTATTGCCAACTCAGAGCTGGCGAGCCTATCTGATGGCACATGTGGGGGAAAACAAGCAAACCACCCAGAATTACGAAAACTGGTTTCCAGAAGCAGACTAAAAAGAACAAGAGCGCAGCAGCAGCAAAGGCACTTCACAGAATCATAGAGTTGAAAGGGACCTCCAGGGTCATCTAGTGGAGCTGAAGATATTTTATAAGTATACCAGTTAAATTATGTGCCTTAAGTCTTATAAACCACACTGGGGAGTAACAGAACATGGGATGGACAGACAGCTGCAAAGCAAAGTGGGAGAGGGGCTTTACTACTCAAGTTGTCCCTGAGCTTAATGTGTCAGAGTGCGGTGTACAAAACATATTTCACATCAATCGAACTACCCTGCCATTCCCCCCCCATTACTGACCTGCAATGTTTTGTTTGCTTCTTTAATATCTTCTATTTTAAGCTTTGACCTAAAGAGAAGACGTGATATGTAAATAAACTGTGACTAATTACAGACAAGTGGTAAACTATTTCTGTTCTTTCTGAGACTGACAACCACATTTAAAACTCACTTCTCCTCCAACCCACTACAACCCAGTGGCAGACTCATTCCCTCTCCACCCCAGATTTATGTAGATATTATCACTGACCTGACCCTGTCCCCAAGTTCTTCCACTTAACATTTTGCACCCCCATGCATCTCAGTGAAGAGAGAAGCCTGCGTGGCTGAGAGCTTGGGAAAGCCTACCAAAGGCATTGGTGCATTTTCCATGACTAGGTAACTTAGTTAATGTTTCCGCACAGAACCCCCCTGCACAGTTGTTCACAACATTTCTAAAATCAGACTCCACTGTTAGAAGGGAAACAAGCCTTTCACATTCGGTTATCCAAATACAGAACTCGCTCATGGGAGCAGCCACTGAACTGAACAATGTTAATGTGGATTCCCATATTGCGCTTGATAAGTGGGCCTGTTCCCCAGGCCTCCATGACCTGACAGGAGGGCCATCTACGGTGGAGCAGTGTCTTCACAGCAAGGTTCCAGGCTTTGGAATGACTTTCCTGAGGAGATCCAGAGCTAGTGCTCTTCCCACCTTTCAAAGAGGATAGCTCTTCTGGAAGCCCTTTGGAGATCGCTCTGAATTTGTTTTCTTGTTTGGTTGATGTTATTTATATTTAAATAAACAAACAGGTGTGTATCCAAACATTTATCCCAATCTCTAAAAGTTTAAAAGTCAAGAGTACTTCTGAAGGCGATGACAAGCAAATTTCTAGGGAAATGGGTGAGTTGATACATTGACATTACTCACCAAACAGTTAGACTATATTGAAAACCCATTCAGACTCTTCCAGAATGAAAACTGCTTATGAGGAATTGCTCACACTAAAAACGGTAATGCTTTTATCCTGAAGTAAATGTATACCCGAGTTAATGATTTAATGGAATTTGCTAGGCCAGTTCTGACTATTTTCAGATGAAGACTCAGCATCTTCCTTTGGACCCAAAGAACCATCACTTAGATCCCCTTTGCATTCTTTGAGAAGTGTGGCTACTTCTATGGCTGTTGGCAGAGGGGTTTACTGTAAAGCAGGGTACACAACACACAGCCTGGAGCTGTGTGTGACCCACCAACACATGTGCTGCAGCCTGCAAAAACCCCACCCACTTACTATTTCCTTTATTTACAAAATATACACCCCACCATTCTGCCCTCATCAGGGCCATCAAGGCAGCTAACAGGTTAAAAACATACATAATAAATCACATCTTGAAAGCCATTTTAAAATAAACCATCACTTCATTAAAACAATTAAAACAAAAACACACATGCCCTGTAACATAAAAGTGGCAATTAAATCAGGGCGAGATCACTGAGGAAATGGGGTACAGGTGGACAGTAAGTTAAACATAGGCAGGCAGTGCGACGTAGCAACAAAAAGGGCTAATGTGATCTTGGGGTGTATCAACAGAGGCATAACATCCAAATTGCAAGACGTCACAGTCCCGCCGTACACCGCATTGGCCAGGCTGCACCTGGAGTATTGTGTACAGTTCTGGAGGCCTCGCTTCAAAAAGGATGGGGACAGAATGGAGCAGGTGCAGAGGAAAGGGTGATCAGGGGCCTGGAAACCAAGGAAAGGCTGAGGGACTTGGGAATGTTCAGTTTGGAGAAGAGGAGGTTGAGAGGGGGGGACATGATTGCTCTCTTTAAGTATCTGAAGGGCTGTCACTTAGAGACGGGCAGGGAGCTGTTGGCAGCAGAGGATAGGACTCACAATCATGGGTTTAAATTAAGGGCGGGAAGGTACCGGCTGGATATTAGGAAAGACAGTAAGAGTTGTTCAGCAGTGGAATCAGCTGCCTAGGGAGGCGGTGAGCTACCCCCAACTGGCAGTCTTTAAACACCGTCTGGACAAACACTTGTCAGGGATACTCTAGGCTGGTCCTGCATTGAGCAGGGGGTTGGACTAGATGGCCTGTATGGCCCCTTCCAGCTCTGTGATTCTATGAAATGCCAGATGAAAGGGAAAAAAACCTCTTCACCTGCTAGCAGAGAATGGCAACAGAATGGGGCAGGCCAAGTCTTCCTTGGGACAGAATTCCAGCGCTTTGGTGCCACAACCAAGAAGGCCCTCTCCAAGGTTGCTACCCACCTAATCCCAGAAGGTGGGGCAGCCCAAGCAGGGTCTTGGGAGATGACCACATGTGTCAGGTAGATTCATAAGGGAGCAGACAGTGGTTCAGGTATGCTGGTCCCAAGCCATGCAGGACTTTAGAGGTCACCACCAGCACCTTGAGTTGCACCCAGAAACAGACGGGCAAAGACTGAAGGGACAAGGTCTCTACAACCATGCTAGTCAACATCCTGGCTGCAGCTTTCTACACCAACTGAAGTTTCTGAACACTTTTCAAGGTCAGCCCAACACAGAATGCTTTGCAGTGATCTAACCGGGGCAGGCACCACAGTGGCCAGACCCTTTCTGCCCAGGAAAGGCTGCAGTTTCCTAACCAGTCAAAAGCTGGGAAAAGGCACTCCTGGCTACAGCTGCAACAGCCTATCTAGCAGTAGGCCTGGGTCCAAGAGCCACCCCCACCCCACCCCGACCATGAACCTGCTCCTTCAAGTCAACCCCATCCAGAATGGGCGACAGCTGAAATCCCAGGTCAGACCCTCTGCTTACTAGTAGCACCTCCATCTTGTCAGGATTAAGCTTCAGTTTATTAGTTCACATCCACAACAAAACTGCCTCCACAACAAAACTACCTGGGAGTCAGCAGGTCTTACACAGCCAGTATTATTGCTCAACTTCATGGAGCAGCTCAACGACAGCAAGGCAGCTGCATGTTCATGAAACTGCACTACAAGAGCAGGGTGGCGAGTCTTAGGCCAAGAGTGCTGGCACAGTGCAGTAGTTAAGGGTGTTGGATTAGTACTTGGGAGACCCGGCGTCGAATCACCACTTGTTCTGTGGAAGCTCACTGAGCAACCTTGGGCCAGTCATACTCTCTCTGCCTAATGCTACCTCAAGGGGTTGGTGAGAGGATAAAATGGAGAACAATGTATAGAATCATAGAGGTAGAAGGGATCTTCAGGGTCATCTAGTCCAACCCCCTGCACAATGCAGGAAATTTACAAATACCTCCCCCTCCACACCCACAGTGACAGCTGTTCCACGCCCAGAAGATGACAAAAAAAACCCCTCCAGGATTGCTTCCTGATCCCAAAGTGGCAATCAGCATTTTCCTGGGCGTGTAAGAAAGGGCCACAAGAGCTAAGCGCTGAGGCAACCCTTCCTGCCCTCCCTTCTCGTGATCTGCCTAAGTTCACACAATCAGCATTGCTGTCGGATGGCCCTCTAGCCTCTGTTTGAAAACCTCCAAAGGAGGAGAGCCCATCACCTCCCGAGGTACCACTTTAACTGTCAGGAAGTTCTTCCTAATGTTTAGCCGAAAACTCTTCTGATTTAATTTCAACCCTTTGGTTCTGGTCTGGCCTTCTGGGGCAACAGAAAACAGCTCCACACCATCCTCTAGATGACAGCCCTTCAAGTACTTGAAGCTGCTTTGGGTTCCCATTGGGGAGAAAAGCAGGGTACAATTAAATAAAATTAATTAATTAAATAAGTAAGTTGCCAGACAGCGCAGACACCCAGGAATTTTCCCCTTTCAAATACTAACAATGAAGCAGAGAGTCAAATTTCAGACACTGAAACAGAGTAGAAGGTGAAGGCTTTATACCCCCTGTCCTGAGGCTGCATGAGTTCGCAATTCATACTTTTATCTACGGAATGAGATGGTGATCTTCATCTTATTTTGCTGGAGCCCTGAATACTGTCAAATCCCCACCATCTCAAAGGGCAAGTCCTGATGATGTCATAGAACAGGGCTTAGTGATGTCACACTTTTACAACTTGGCCCGCTTAACTCCACACAAGGTCAATTCTGGCCAATGTTTTTGTCTGCGTTGTGCACCCTGGTGTAAAATCTTCTGCTCAGGTGTCTCCTCTGTAGATGTATTATGTATACCATGCAAGCACTGCTCCTCTAGGGCCTGGGGATAGATCAAGATGGGTAGCTGTGTTAATCTGTCTGTAGCAGTAGAAAAGGATCCAGCAGCACCTTAAAAACTCACCAACTTTGTCGTAGGGTATGAACTTTCGCGAGTCACTGCTCACTTCTTCAGATGCCAAGAAGAAGTGAGCAGTGAATCATGAAAGCTCATACCCTACCACAATTTTTGTTAGTCTTTAAGGTGCTATGGGATTCTTGCTCTTTTCTACTAATAACGGGAACGACTGAGCTGGAAGACTTCTCATACAACTAGCAGGATGGAAAGAAACATCAGGAGAGTCAAGTATGTGGCTGGAAGTCTTGCACTCAAGGGTTTTATAATTCTGAGGCTGGATGGTACTAATTTATATTACAAGTGTCCCGTTTAACAAACTTTAAGTTACAGGAATAGTCATGCCTCTTTCCCCACACCACCACCAAAAGGAAAAGAAAGAAAAATTACTCGCTCAGTTTGCCAGCTAGTTCTTGGAGAGCTTCTTCTTGGTCATGACATAGATTTTTCAACTGCTTGTTTTTTTCCTGTAACTTCAGGAACTCCTTAAAAAAAACAGAATTAGGGATACCATTTATATGAGCTGCATATTATCAACAACTGGACAAATCAAAGGAGAAAGGCAAGGGTAAGGTAAACTATACTACCATCTCATGGCTCTCTCCTGGTTACAATCTCTTCCTTATCAGTCACCAAAAGTCACAGCTGACTTATGAGTCACAGACCAAGCATGTGGAAAAATAAACACCACGGCAACCTCTGACTACACCTCACTTTCCCCCCCCCAGACCCACACAAGTCTCTTATCTGAATGAGTAAACACACACTTCCTGATATCTGCAAAGCACTCTGAGTTGTGGTCATTTCACACAAGAAAAGTTAACACGCAGTAGGGTTGCCAGGTCCCCTCGTTGCTCTGGCAGGGGGGATTTGGGGGGGCCTTTCGGGGTGGGCAGGGATGCCCCCACGCCCCACCCCCAAGAGCGACCACCTGCCTGGCCACCCCTCTCCCTCCCCTCCCGCCTGATTTAAAGGGCTTCAGCTGATCAGCAGGGACCACGTGGCCCGCCGACCAGCTGGAGGGCCCTTTGAATCTAGCAGGAGGGAGGGAGAGGGGCGGTCATGGGCTGCATGCTTGGCTGGTAAAAAGATCAATGGGTATTTTTGTGAGCCGAGCCTGTGGCCCACAACCACCCCTCTCCCTCCCTCCTGCTAGATTTAAAGGGCCCTCCAGTAGGTCGGCGGGCCAGGTGGTCCCTGCAGATCAGATCACGCCCTTTAAATCGGGCAGGAGGGGAGGCTGTCTAGCTGGTTGCTCTTGGGGATGTGGCTTCTCCCACTGGCCAGCTGGTCAGGGGCGGATTGAAGCCCCCAGAAGTGAGGGAACCCCCACCCAGACCTGGGGGCTGGCAACCCTCACGTGAAATGTAGGGAAGCAGACATTTTTTCAAAATCTCATCCCTAACCATACCAGATAATCAGCAAGTTCGCACAAGGAATAATAGAGGACATAATTGATAAGAACAAGCCAGACAGAAAAGGCAGATTGATGTCACACTGGTAAACATCCCCACTGACTAGCTAATGTAGGCCTTCACATTATAACAATACACTGGAATTAGGAGCGATCTGTGTATGAAATAAACTATCAGATTACTAATACCAGAACAACAGTCCAGTTCTGTATGCAGCCACTTCAGCACACTGTCAGCAAGCTGCCAAAAGTTCATTCTTGTCTATATGTTCCTCTATGCATCTTCCCCCCCCCTCTGTAGATGCGCTCAGCTTGTCATGCGCACATCTCTCCAGTAGCTCTGCATTCCTTTCAGTATACGCCAGCCATGCTTTGATGTAACGTTATCTAACTAAGGCCACAGGTGGAAGAGCAAGAGAGCTTTGCTTTGTCTTTAATTAGTAGAGACTGTGAGAATCGTATGCTTATTTATAATAAGGTAGCCGTTGCTTTCCCAAGGTTTAAGCGCGCAAGAAACCCTTTGGCCGCGCGCGGGAACCATGTTTATTGGCTGTAATTATTATGAATTTGCTTTAACCTTTCCAGCTCTCCGAGCTATCGTTATTCTGAACAGTGACCTGTTCAAGTGCTTCATGGCTTCAATAAAGTAAAACCTTCTTGCAAGTGTGTACTACGTTGTTTGCTGTGGGGACCTGACACACACACATTGCTTCTTTAGATCAGAGCTTTATCTACTTACACCAGTGAATGTTAGAAATCTGACAAATGTTGACATTCACAGTGGAGATTTACAATTGTGACTTGTGAGTGTGTGAGATAGAGTGACAGAGACAAGTATTGAAAAGTGTATTTATTTTTGGCTGGGTTTGTCATTCCATTCCTACAAGAATGATTCCTGTCTCTGTCAACTAACTTTCCCCGTTTTTGCTTTACCAAGTTCAAAAATGTTTTGAGTACTACCATATATATATTTAGACACTGCCTTCACCTCTATGCCCAGAAACTATCTCTTGATCCATGCTCACTCTCTACAGGTGTGTGTGTGAGACAGAAAAGACTATGGCACATGCCCCACCGTTGTTAGACCCATCGCCAGAGATTTGCTTAATTCCAAACCTGCCAATTTTCTGGGGAAACAGTAGATCATTTCTATTTAAACTAATTTTAAAACTTGGACTAACTAGGCATCACATAATCTTAATCCAGCACTACATTTTAAGGAAACACAAAGAGACAAATGGTGTAAGTAAACAAGTCTTTGTGAAAGCATGTTCAGCGTGTTGTATATGTAGATGTACAATTTTCTGTCCAGGTCTTAACTCCGTAGAAATCAGTTTTCCCAGTCTGCAGTACAAACTTGCTGTGCACAGCAATGACTGGCTAGTGTTTATGGCATCACAATCCTCCCTTTCCCTCCCATCCCCAGAACAACTTTGCAGTATTCTATATAAAAGTACCCCCCCCCCAAGTAAGCAATCAGCACATATTGAAATGAATAAACATTTATGATGAGCTTGAAAACATTATGAAAAAGGCAGACACTGAATATTGGAGGAGAAGCAACTGAGTGGAGACTTATTCTTGTTTTGTGGGAGAAAAGAAATTACAATTAATTCCATTTAAAGGTACATCTATGTACTCCATGTGTTTTTACTGAATGGTTTTACTCAATTTTGGTTTGGTTTAGTTCATGGGATGGGGTGGAACAGTAAATGAAATAAAGACAATAAATTTAAGATGCAAGTATTGACCTAACAAGCCTTAAAGCTTCATCCCATTGCTTTTCACTGTGGCTTTAGAAATTATACAATGCAGAACAGAAACTACGACTCCTACATCCTCTTCTTCTTGTTTCTCTGTAATGTCTGATGTTGTTTCCCCCTACGTTTGCCAGGTTCCTCCTCCCCCCCGGCCATCAGCGGGGTGTGGAAGGGCAGGGCTGCCAGCTCCAGGTTGGGAAACTCCTGGAGATTTGGGGGTGGAGCCTGGGGAGGGCAGGGACCTCCTCAGTGGGGTCCAGTGCCAGAGAGTTCGCCCTCCAAAGCATCCATTTTCTCCAGGGGATCTGATTTCTGTAGTCTGGAGCTGTAATTCCAGGGGATCCCCAGGTCTCACCTGGAGGCTGGCACCCCTATTCCCCCCATAGCTAGTTGCAGAAGTTCTAAATGCAGGGGAAACTTCTACATCTGACCGTGCTTCTCATGGGGGGGTGGGGGTGGCAGGAGAGTTCTGCTTTGGATCTTACATGGAGATCAGAAAAGACCAGCCTCACACACACACTTTCTCCTTCCCAGCCTCATGAAACATCAGAGATCAGAAAACACAAGCCTCACACACTTTTTCCTTCCCAGCCTGATGAAACATCAAAACCTACTGTCAAGAGACTGACTTCTTCCTCCTGTAAGCCTGGCCTCTTGAACCCACATAAAAGTACCCTGACTGGGAACTGCAACGAAAACTTTCAGATAAATACAGCTCTTTCCCCTGGGGACTCTCCAGCAGTTCCCAGAGGGCTGGAAAGGCCGGGTGCCTCAGCACCCAGACAGAGTAATACAGCTGCCTATCGGCAATTATTCAGTGCACCGTTCCTTGCAGCCTTTTATCATGGTGGAATGTTATATTGTGCTTTTAAGGTGCAATCAAATAGCTTCCTGTTGGTTTGATAGCCTCTCTGAGTCTCAGGAGAGAAGGTGAGATCTGGATATTTTCAGTAAATACATCCAGTACCTTTTCTGACAGGTTCAGTAGCCTCCAACTGATCATAGTGTTTATTCTCTCAATAGTCTCTATGATATCCTTATAAAGTTGGTCAATAATATTACCCCCCATATTGCACACTTGGAACTAAGACAGCTGTAACAGAGATCAGATTTTCATACGGTATTTCCTGATAAGAGAAACGGAAGTGTAACATAAGGCCCACAGATTGAGCCCTTGACTTTATATTAAAAGTATGGGGAAGGTAGGTACCCCCACAAACACACATGCAGTAAATTGTTTGTGCTGTTCCAAAGGAGGAGTGCCTCTAGCACCTGTCACTATATAGCAGGAGATGTAGTTATCTAAGCCAAAAACTGTATGGCCAACCTCCATGGGAAACAACTTCTGAACAGAGTGGCATTTTTCAAAGCAGTTTGTAACCCTCATATACGGCATCAAACACACAAACAAACAACCAAACAAAAAGGTCCCCCTCAATGTGAGCAGGTTCTTTGGAATGTCTAAAGCATCCATTTAGATTACAGACAATCTATTTAATGATCTTTCCCTGTATTTTAGGGATCAGAAATGCAGTCTGCACTTTCCCCCTTATAACTGCAAGAAAAGGGCTAGAGACTTATTTTTTTAAAAAAAAATGAAAGGTGGGAACAAGGAGACAACAGATTATAATAACATTACAGTCATCTAGCAGTCTGTGATCCAGAAGAAGAGAGAAGTTAAATTAAAACATTTTCTGTAATGAAATTTGACTTGATTCCTTTGCATTTAAAAAAACACTCCATGCAAATAGAAAACCAACACACCAGAGATAAAGGTGCTACCTATGGTTACCTATGGTTACCAACCTCAAGGTGGGTCCTGAAATTCTCCCAGAATTACAAATAAAACTTGACTTGATTCTGTTTTCACTTATAATGTTTAAATCTTTCTTAAAATACAGTTTAAAAGAATTCATTCTGAGATTCTTACAAGGCTATGGTAATGATATTCTAAAAGACTAATTTATGCAATAGTCAAATGTAGGCACACTCATGACTTAATTCTTTGGTTCACAAAGTTGAATTTTTACGCACGACATTCCACAGCTTACAGGGAACATTGGTTGGAAGCATATTTGCAGTTTCACTCATATAGTGATAAAGGTGAATATATATACTTTATTTATTTATTTAAAACATTTCTTAACTGCCTTTTTTCCTCACAGACAGCTTAAAACATAGATAGAACACATAACATAAAATACATTAAAAACAGAAGAACCAAAATTTAAAATCCCCACTCAGGATTCCAGTAAACTTAACCAAATGCAGTCCTAAATAAAACTGCCTCCTAAAGACCGAAAATGAGGGGGCCAGCCGCATCTCCCTGGGGAGGTTGTTCCATAATCGTGGGGCTGCTACTGAAAATAGCCTCACTTGTATACCCACCAGGCAAGCTTTTTTGATTGATGGGACAGTCAGCAGGGCCTCTCCCCATGATCTTAATTCCAGGGAAGGAATTAACATTTGGGGGGCATATTCCACTCATGAGGGTCCTTCAACAGGAGAGAGTAGAAAATAAAGGAGGGGAGAAAGACCCCGGGAAGGCCACTGATCTCTTTAACCGTCACTGTCCTCGACCATATGCCCAGCAGAACATCTCAGTCCCACAGGGCCCAGACCTCACTGGGGAGAGAGTTCCACCAGGATGGGGCCAACAAGGCCCTGGCCGAGGACTGCCAGACCATTTTGGGACCAGGGACTACCAGAAAGTTGGTACCAACTGAGCGTAATACTCTCTGAGGGACATATAAAAAAGGAAGAGGTGGTCCCGCAGGTATGATGCTCCTAGACCATTTAGGGCTTTAAAGATAAGTACTAGAACCTAGAACTTGATTTGGTATTCCAGAGCAGCTGATAGAGCACAGGTCGTATATGAGCTCTCAAGGGAGTCCCCGTAAGGACCCTCACAGCTGCATTCTGGACCAGGTGAACTTTATGGAGCAAGTTCAAGGGCAGCTCTGCATAGAGCGAGTTGCAGTAGTCCAATCTAGAGATGACTGTTGCGTGGATAACTGTAGCTAGGTCGGCACGGGACAGGTAGGGGACCAGCTGCCGGGCTTGGCGAGGATGAAAGAATGCTATCCTGGCTGTATTTGTGACCTGTGCCTCCGAAGTAAGAGAGGCATCAAGAGTCACACCCAAACTCCTGGCAGAGGAAGCCGGCACCAGCTGTACCCCATCCGGAGTGGGAGGCTGAAACCCCGGCCTCGCCCCCCCCCCAAACCCAGTCACAGGACCTCCATCTTCAATAGGTTCAGCTGCAGGCAACTCTGTTTTAACCATCCCACCATGGCCCCGAACAATTGGTCAGATCTTCTGGGGTGGTATATCTGGTCGGCTGTCCATTAACAGATATAGCTGGGTGTCATCAGCATATTGATGGCACCCTAGCCCAAACCTCCTGATGAGCTGGGTGAGGGTGCACATACAGATGCTGGAAAGCATTGGGGAGAGGATTGCCCCCTGTGGGATGCCGCACACCAATGGGTGTCATGAAGAAACCCTCTCCCCAAGCGCCACCCTCTGTGCCCACCCTTTGAGCAATGAGCACAGCCACTGTAAGGCAGTCCCACGTATTCCAGTAGATTCAGACCTCATGGACACGGACAGAATGACCTTCTGTCTGTCAGAAGAACTGGACTCAGCAGTAAGAATTTCACTCCCTAGCAGACAAGAGGTGTCTAAAAAGCAGAACTTTCTAGGGAGGGAATGCATCCCCCCCTCCCTGTCCAAATGCCCTGTCGTTGGTCAAGGCTTAAGGTTTTAAGACCCTGACTGGGATAGCCCAGGCTAGTCCAGTCTTCTCAGATCTTGGAAGCTAAGCAGAGGTGGCCCTGGTTAATACTTGGATGGGAGACCACCAAGAAAGTTCAAGGTTGCTACACACAGGCATGCAATGGCAAACCACCTCTGTTCACCTCTTGCCTCAAAAACCATACACGGTTGCCATAAATTGGCTGCAACTTGATGACACTTTCCACCACCAAGGTTTTAGAATTCTCTTAAGGACCCTTTGCCCCAAAGCAGCTTCTGCAATGACCAAAGTGTCTTTTCATAGTTTGCAGAGATTTAAACGGAGGCCCAAGGAGCAGACTTACAAATTTCCTCCAAGAGAAACCCCCTAACCATTCCCCCTGCCAAAGCAGGTACTGCTGCTCCTTCACCAAAGAAACCAGAATACCTTCAGATAATAAAGGATGGAAATGCACCTTCTTCTCCAAGGATGTAAGATTAAAGGAAATGACAGATTCCTGGATTATGTGTTTTATGATGCCATCCTAAGAAGAGTTATACCCTTCTAAGTCTATCAAATTAAGTGGGCTTAGAATGACATTGGCTAGCATAGCCAATATAGAGTTTGAGAGCTTGGCATACATCCAAGCAGTGCCCATCCCTATTCCTTAGGTGTAGCCAGGTAAGGACAGAAGGAAGGGAGCAGCAGTTCTCACACCCTGTGAAAATTTGAATTTATCTTCAGACTAAAGAGAGGAGCTGGCTAGAGAATACCCCTCTGGAAAATGAACAAATCCCCCCCCCCAAAAAAAAGTCCTTGAAGCTCAAAATGTCCTTGAAGCTAACAAGAACAGAGCCTTAAGAGTCAGGATCTACAGAGAGAGCTCCCAGAGGTTCAAAGGATTGTGAGGGATTCCCAGGACTACACCTAGACTCTCTACAGGAATACAACAAACTGGTTGAGGCAAAATCAGAGAGGCAGGTGGGAGGAATGTTTTTATGTAGGAGATGTAAAGAGAGGGCAAGGCCTCCAGTTCTTCACAGTTATGCCTGGGAGAGAAGACCCTGGTTTCCTTAAGAGATTAGGTCAGAGACTTGCTCACCTGTCAGAAACAGCAGAATGCCACATACTGAAGTTGTGAGAGTGGGCTTGCCTGATGAGCCTTTCACCTGTTGGGAGAGCTTTCATGATGCCAGAAGAAAGGCAATCATCCAGGGCAAACGTACTATCACAACGGTGTCTGCCTCTCAGCTCCCAGGCGATCAACTGGAATATTCATGCTCTTAAGGGGAAAAGAATCCAATATCTCTGGATGAGGTTAACTCACATTCACATCCACATTCACAGGCATGAAACCTCTGAATCCCAGAGCCAGGAGGCAACATCAGGGGAAAACCTCAGCCTCTATGCCCTGTTGTTGGCCCTCCAGAGGAACTGGTTGGCCACTATGTGAGACAGGATGCTGGACTAGATGGACCAGATGGACTAGATGGACCAGATGGACTAAATGGACCAGATGGTCTGATCCAGCAGGGCTCTTCTTATGTCCTTATGAGGCCAGAGCTCTTTAACTGAAACGGCTACATGGTCAGAGAATAAAATTCTCAGGTGATGTTAAGATGCACAGACTTTGTTCCAGTTCTTGTTTTCTGAAGGAGAGGGAAAGCACAGCCAGCATCACTGCAGAGCATCAACCAGAGACATTCAGAGTTCTTTCAACCTACTTCCAGACCTTTTGGGTCATTTGCTCATGTTTACAGTGAACAGCTCCAGTATCAGCACTGCAACCCCAACCGTTGTCTGAATGAATAGCGCCCACTATCTCTAAGGTATGCTCTGCCTTTCCAGCCATCCTGCTCTCAAAATTAACCGATATGGATTTGAGCCACTTCTCTGCCAAGTACTTGGCCTAGCTCAGATGTCAGGGGCTAAGGATATGGCCTCCATCTGTATGGCCACAACCTGTGACACATTAACCAGGAGTACGGCAGTAAGAGAGTTCCCTTTAAGGCCATCTTTTGAGTGGTCTGATGAACTCCAACATGGCAGGAAGCTTACTGGTCCACATGAAGGCAGCCCTGGCTTTTGACAGATAAGAACTGACATCCATCTATTTTTATCCATATTTGGATTATGAGTTGCCAACACCATCTCCATCCTTAATTAACTCCTTCCCTGGGCAGGATGGCTACTTTGTATTCCCCAATACTCAGTCCTAGTCTGAGGAAAACTGGGGTTCTTAGTCTTGGCTACAGCCAGGGGTCATTTCCTGCAGGAGCGCACAGGAGCGGAGCTCCGGCAGTAAAGAGCCCAGGGGGCGGGCACATGCAACAAGCCCCACCCCCTGCTCCCAGCAGCCCTCAGACAGAGCAAGAAGCAGCCAGGTAAGTTGCAGAGCCCCCCACCCCAAAACAGTCCACTGGCACCTTTAAGACCAAGTTTTATTCAGGTACAAACTCTCCCTCCTTTATGAGGGCATATCTGCACATTCCCCCCCCCCCAACAGCTAGCAATCCAAAACAGTCCAGTGGAGCCTGAGCGGTGGGTGTTGCCTTCTGCCACACTTCCGGTGATGTCAGGGGGTGTGGCATATGCAAATAAGTTGTGCTAATGAGCTCCTGCACCTCTTTTTCTACGAAATGACCCCTGGCTACAGCTAAAGGAGCAATATTGGTCGGGTGAGGCAGACGGGCACGCTCCCCTTCTTCTGTGGAAGAAATCCACCTTCAGAGAAATGCTGCTTAGTCCTGCCTTCTGAGTTCAGGTGGCAGGTCCTAACTCAGTGGTGCATAACTGGCTATCTACAAGGAGAGAAGGCATTTCAGTGGCATTCAACAGAAAACAGACAGACACGTTGATTTAGTCTCGCTTCTCCCAAACTTATTTTACTTACAATTGTTTCTCCTTTTGGGCGATTTCTTTCTGCAGACTTTCAGATTTACTCATATAGTCTTGCTTAAATCTCTTGTCCGCATTCTCTGCCTCCATTTGAGCCTTCTCAGCTTGCTGCAATCTGGTGTAATTCAAATCAACTTTGGGTAAAACTGAAGCTAGAATTTGGGTGTAAAGGATGAAGAAGACAAATAAAAGGGGAAAAAATGGGGAAATAGAAACATTTCTAAATGAAAACAAAGTTTGGGGTAAAACTCACAAACTCAGATGAGACCCAGACAATGACTAGAGATCCAAACTCTTTTTCTCACTACAGCAACAACAACAACAGAGACAACTGTCCAATTTCTCCAATTTTATTTGGTGTTCACAATTAACAGATGCCATCTGTGCAGAGCCATATATGAGTCACATGTGCAGAACTTTGAATGTGCATTCTTGTGTTACTGTGAGACTGGCTTCTTTTTTTAAAACAACAGCAACAGAAAAAAAATGCAACTAATCAGTCCTTAACGGCACAAATCCATCAGCTCCACAAAATGGAATACAAAAGCGTACTGAGGGGCATGATAAAATTCAGAACACAAAGTGGAACAGTGCAGCCAAGGCAGCGAAAACAGTCCTGTGCAAAGTCAACACAACGTGTGTGAAGTCTGTCACCCTGAATCCAAATCAGTGCACTTGACATAAGTGAATGCATGAACTTAATTGGTATACTCAGGACTGTGGAGAGGATGGGAGGCAGGCAAGTGTACCCTTAATGTGTTCACGAAGCTCCCACACCAGTAAGGGCAACCCTCCTTCACTTCAATAGAAGTTTAGCTCTCATCCTAAAGCTGGAGCATCATTTGTGCCTGTAGGGGAGACGGGGCCAGGGGGATAATAAGGATGACTCTGGACAATTGGGCCAAGAATAGGAACTCTCCGTCTGGGGCAAGGGGTGCTCTGTATTCTTGGTGCTTGGGGGGGGGGCAACAGTGGGAGGGCTCCTAGTGTCCTAGCCCCACTGGTGGACCTCCTGATGGCACCTGGTATTTTTGGCCCCTGTGTGACACAGAGTGTTGGATTGGATGGGCCACTGGCCTGATCTAACATTTGGCTTCTCTTATGTTCTTAGGAACTCTCAGTCTGGG